CGAGAATTGGCATTTAGAGGGCGTATAGAATCTATTAAATCTAATATAAGAGAGTTAATTATATTGAACTTGCTTATTTATTAAGTGCGTTAGATAATCTATTAATTAAAAATACATTTAGAGAAGTCTACGGTTTTTACTGGCTTATCGAACAAACGAATACGAATGGACCCTAGACCATTGCTGACTGATTGCCCCTGGAAGTTGGCTTCTTATAGAAACACAGCTTCCCTATCATCAGATGTCACGGCACGCCACTGCATATATTACAATCAATGTAAATTGGAAACCATGTAAGAAAAGTTATAACAAAAATTTAAATGATGTCTTATCTTCACAAAAAGAGGAAAATTACTTTATTAAAATAGCCTCTAAAGTTTTCTTCCGACATTAAATCTTCTAGAAATATTTGTTACGCTAAAATTTAGTTTTTGTAACAGGATAAGATATTTGGAAAATCCAACATAAATTTATAGTAGTAAAAGAGGATTAAAGAATTTTCAATGCATACAAAAATATTAAATAAAACTGAGAAAGATAACAGTAAACAACTAATAACTACTATTCCCCGATTATTTATCATCATTGCATCCTTGCAACTGATAAAGTAGTTTATTCCCTCTTTTTATTCAATCTTCGGCGCATTACCGGGATACAATTTTCAATCATAATTTTAATTTGATTGATTTAAAATATATGCTTTCCACCTCAAATAAGTAGCGGCATACACCGGTACATCGAACTTTTTTGCTATAAATAGAGTCGTGCTGATCAGCTATCTAACTCGTTTCGGGGAGAAAATATTTGAATTGAAATAACGTCACTTTCGATTTGCATTGGAAGTTCTTATATAAGTAATCGGGGCCTACTTTTCAAAAGATTTTCATTTCTGATGTCGACATTCATCTATCTGTCTCCATTTTCAAGATTCAGAAATAACAGTGAGGCCCAACGGACAACAATGGGTCTACAATTTTTTCGATTTGCAGCCCAAAAATCAATTCTTCGTTACAAACGAATTCATGTAGATAGAAACTAAGCGCGACAATCGCGATCAGCCGCACTTACTTCCTATAAATTGTACACTGAATCTCAACGACTAGAACACATATATAGTACGGATTAAAAAGTTAGGAAAGTACTAATTTCTTTTTTTAGATTTTATGCTAAATTTTAAATATTAAAATAAAAAGAAATTGAAAGGAAAGAGGAAGTGAGTCTCAATCTCAACGTGAGTAATGGCGAAAGAATTCCTGTAGGGGTTGAGTGAATCGGATATAGAAATTGTCTTACTGCATCACACAGACAGGAAATTATAGACCCATTCTAAAATTGTGAAATTAAGAGCATCAAAAAATAAGATTATATTTTGCATTTATGCATTATTTTCAATCTAACGATGTAAATTACGCGTGTTTTTTTAAAAAAAACAGCATATTATGGTAATTACTTTTATTAATAAAAAAAATTAAATAATTAATTGATATTAAATTATTCGTGAATGAAATGTAATTTTAGATTTGTTGTTTAAGAGAAATTTTAAGTTCAATTTGGTTTCTAATGATCCAACACCCGCACAGTCTCCACAAGTATGCCACAGGGTAAGAGCATAATATGTAAATTTATTATTTAGGTAATAATCTTCATTTATAATTTTCCAGATTTCAAATTTAATAAAATTATATGAAATTGCTGTAGGAAAAATATAAGTATTTTTCTATTGTGATTTTATTCGAATTATGATAATTCCTACCGGTTCACTGGAACGAAGAGAAGATGAATAAGCAAAGTAATTTATCCATGAATAATTGAGGTAGACAATAAAAAATTATTTCATTATTGTATAAATACTATTCATTAATGTTATGCAACTTTTATAATTCAGGCATTCAAGGATGGCAAATGCTGAAAGCAATCTTTCCTGTACAAAGTTTACAAAATATTGTTAAAATCTATTAAAAATTTAAAACTAACTAATTGAAAAAATTTAAAAAATAATAATTTGTCAACATATAATAGATATAAATATCTGCAACGGATAAACTTTTCTTCGTTATTTACTTAATATTAACGTCTAACCTATTACAAACGCACGAATGTAATCAATCTGTGGGACAGTTATTTAAATTTCGGTGTAGAGACCTGAAATATGAATTTTCAGTTTTTAAAAAATTGAGGGCTGCAATTTGAAAGCATTAGACAAATATAAATTACCAGTGTCGTCAGTCTTTTCGCATGCCTGACTGTCCTTCATTAATCTCTAGAAAGGAGTTACATAAATTAAAGTCGACAGATGATCTTAATAGCTTAGAAGCAGGAGTTCCGGATTAACTATATATAAATTGTCGATGCAAACCGAAAGTCACGTTATTTTAATTCAAAAATTGTCCACGAAAAATAATAAGTTACAGCACAAGCACGACCCTATTTCTATAGGGAACGTATGATGTACAGGGTCCATCCACTAGTAATTTGAGATGGAGAGCATATATCTTGAACTAAATAAATTTAAAATGTGATCAAAAATTACAGTCCCACATTGCAACGCTGTCACAATAAATATTTACTCGTTTCTGTACAATTATGAGAGAAATGACACTGTGTTAAGAATATTAATGAATAGTAATTGAATGTGGAACGTCGAAATCATCAAAATTCTAAATTTCTTTTATTTAACGTTTCTATGTTCGAACTGCTATTGGTAAAAACACACTAAAAGATTTATAGCGCAAATAATAGCACAAATTAATTGCGTATTCATTGATTGAGTCAGTATTGTTATTTGATAAAACGAAAATTAGAATTGCACGTTTAATTTATGGCTTTATGGATTAAAATTAAAAACGCGAGTAAAAATTTTCGTTTTGTAAAATATTGTCATCAAATAATATTGTACTTTGCATAATTGAAAAAGGTTTCGCGTAATTATTGTCTATAAAAATAGGAAATACTCAAACCACGATATAAAACTTCACGTTTAATGTAGATGGCCAAAAATGAAACAAATGTGACGAGAAGCAGACAAACAAGATTGTCATTTCCTGTTCCCGGATTCGACCTCACAGGAATCTTGAAAAATACGGTATCTCGTGTGCTAACCTATCTGAAAAATATAGCATTAGGAATTATTGAAAGTGCAATTATATTTGCATTTTGATTATTTTATATAAACAACGAACTTTTTCTGAAAAAGGAAATAATATTCAAACGTAATAATATGATTATGATATTATCTTTTTGAGTCACTGTCTATTGTTTCTTCATAAATTGCTAAAAGGAAGTTGCTTGCTGTTGAATTTGTGCAATAGGAGTCAACTATAGAGTAACTTCTTTCAACAAGACACCGTCTAATGAAAGCGTTAATACGTTCTCTAAAATGAAAATTCGAATTATTCATATGTTGGTCGTTTTACTTCAACTGATAACATGCGTGAATTTAATGGCTACAAACGTGTCAAAAGAAGTACGAGACGAGGAAGAAGTAAACCGTGTATTGGAAATGTTAGACATTGCAGAAGCGAAAGTAAAAGGCTACTTGAAATCTCTTACTAGAGCTGCACTTCCTTACATGATAAGAATTACCGAAGAAACGAATGTATCTTCGTCCTGCATCGATGCTGGCAGTTTGTTCCTCAGAGACTTCAGACTTATGAAACCATGGACTATAAAATGTAAGTGCTACGTACCTGTATTCGTTGCCTGTATATTTCCTGTGTATTTTTTTTTTTTTTGTAAAAGTAAGCAGTTAATAGGCAGTCTCTTTCCGCTCGAAGAGCACTAAAACATTTACAAGAGTGTATATAGAAGAGTGTAAACTTTTCCCAGAGTGGGCTCATCAATGCCATTCATCTATACCATTTCTGTTCATAATTTTAGTTGTTCTGTTATATTTATATTGTATGTGTGGTGAAAAGAATTATGCTTACTTAAGTTTTCTGAGTTTCCAGTTTTATAGAATGATTAGTGCATTTTATTTAAATTGTTATAGGTAAAGACGATAGGAACGTTTAGATTGATAAATTGTTACCTTAAAAGCTGTTTGGAGATGCCTTCCGGGAGGTTTTTCAAATGGTAATTCGCCCTATTCAGGCGTAGCAGACGTGGAGAATACCTGGAAAAGTCCACGTGGCCAGCTCGTTCGGCGAGGCGCGAACCCACGATCGAACTCCCAATGTACAGGGAAAGGAATTGCTTGGCCACTGGTAAGCCTTAGAAAGTTAGCTAACCTGATTTAACATTTATGTTACTCTTCAGCAGTGTAATGGAAAAAAGTACCACTGAAAGGACACCCTCGAGATAAACTTTCTGTAATTTCGATAGTCAAATATGACTTACCAATTCTTAGGGAACCAACCCATTCGGTAGTCTGTGGGGCAAGATCCTCAAAAATAATAAGAGATAGAGAAGTAGAAGAGTATTATGAAAGAGCAAGTTATACTTTGAAATGGAATTGATTGAAGCATCATTAAGCCTTTGAGCATTCCATGTACAGTAAAAATAGCTTATTATACTAATCATAATAAAAATAGAGATCTAAAGCTAAACCTATATACAAGAAGACTGGATATTAATTAAACTAAATTAACATATAGTTACATAGTTACTGAATCAATAGCCAATCGTAAATAATACATGTAAACACACTAAAAATAAAAAATTTTTAGTTAAAAAACAAGTAAAAATTATACTCTTTCTATTTCCGACTTCGAGGATTCTATGAGCCAAAACAAGACAAACAAGTAGCAAGGAACAATCATCATTTTATTAATTTTATCCATATGCATTTCGCCATCTATGCCTCCTCAGTGGATACATCAGGATGTTATTCGTTGGTTACGTTTTATACCCAACAGCCGTTCCCAGCATGCATCAACAATCATTCCAGCATTCAAATTAAGTAAATTTACATGTTCGGCGATACAGAAATGTTCTACAATTTTTCTTTCTAAGTTATTTTCTATTCTATACAAAATTTTAGTATTTTTTATATTTATATTACAATTAAATTTTCTGCAATGTAAAAACCATGCTGATTCCGTTCTTCTCAGTCTAATGGCTGCCTCATGTTCCTTTACTCTCAACTCCAATCTTCTTCCGGTTTCTCCAATGTAATAATTTGGGCTTCCACATGTACATGACATCCTATATACGACACCGGCGATCTTAAATTGGTCTCTGGGCGAATTTTCACT